TGACCTTCGATCGATCTCGCCCGCACTCCATACCCTCATTTATTACCTGTTCAATAGTTATTAAAATAAATTAATCAGGGTGTGCCAAAACCTATGTCTGATTGTCCGGGACATGTAGAAATTTAGTTCCGACATGTAAACCTTTGACATGACTTGTCCATGGGAGAAGCACATTAAATATTTTAATTAGAAAAAAATAAAGAAATGGTTGAAAATTGTCTTCAAATTACAGTCCAAAAGGGCAAACCTCATACTTGACGAAATAATGTTAAATATTCCTTTTAACTCCGCCATTCCACGGTCATTTCATTAGGTTTTACGAGCTCCGTTTAGGTTTAAGTCAAAATTTGAGATTCGAGCTAAACTTTCTGGACCAGAACTCTTTGGTTTTGGACAACCAATCTTAATATAGTGCTTGTCCTCAGGACAAGTGGATAGGAAAATTTTTCTCTTAATCTGTTAATTATGTCATGCTTTTTATTGTAGGTTTTGGGGAAATACCGTAAAGCGTATGGTCCTGAGCCAATCCGTCGCTGTGGCAACTGTATCGGCGGGGATGGAGACAAATTGAAGAGATGTGCCAACTGTGAGGAAGTATATTGTAGCAAAGAATGTCAAGTTCTGGCTTGGGAAAAGGACCATAAAAACCTCTGCAACAAGTAAAAAAATACTAAAACATCAATATAAAAAATACGTATATACTTAAAATTAGAAACAGTATACAAAACCTTTTCGAACATTTAGATAACTTATACAATTGTGGATAGTATGCAGAAAGCAGTGTTGCCACTCTGGTGTATACATTGATGTATACAAGGTTATCTAGTAAATCAATTAACTCCAACAAAAAGAGTTAACAGAAAGGCTACAAAATTAGTTGAGACACTTCGCCCGAAAGGGGCTTTTTGACGTTTTACCGACTTTAAAAGGGTATAATAGAGCTTTTCCTCCAACATCTCCCCATGCAATGTGGCGACAAAATTAGTTGAGACACTTCGCCCGAAAGGGGCTTTTTGAGGTTTTACCGACTTTAAAAGGGTATAATAAAGCTTTTCCTCCAACATCTCCCCATGCAATGTGGCGACAAAATTAGTTGAGACACTTCGCCCTAAAGGAGCTTTTTTACGTTTTACCGACTTTAAAAGGGGAAATTAAAGCTTTTCCTCCCCCATCCCCTCCCCTTTACCCTATTTGAGTACAATATCTCAACAAGTTTGTCGCCGATTGTAGTTCCGTTCAGTGTTACAGTTGTTATAAATATTGTTAGGGTTGAGTACCTGACACGTGTATGTTTTTTTTCTTTCTTTCTTTCTCCTCCTTATTACTTTTTTCAGCAAGAGGTAGAATTAGTTCCATGCATTTTGTCCAGATGCTGGGCAGCATATTATTTTCGTTTTTTTTTTCTTTGTTTGTTTCTTTGTGTCAATGAATTCGTGAAGCTTTCACATAACAGTAGTAGTAGTAGTAATTAGTATAGCAGAAATCCATTTTTTTGCACTGTTTATGCATTATCTTTTTGTAATGATAGCACCTATCAAGTAATGAGTGAAGTTATGCAACAGGACGGGAGAGAAAAGAAGACGGCAAACGTTGTGTGACAAGTGTGACAATAATTTTCTTTGAAGAACCTTCCGCCAAATTCCACCTTCTTTTGAACAGGTCTGTTTGTAAACGACCGGAAAACATTAGTGTAAAATGAAGATCACGACAAAACACGCAAGTGATAGCCCTGTTACGACTGTCTCACACACCCGTTTTGCCATCCTCTTCTTCCTGCCGTCCTTTCGCGTAAACTCACTATTAACGTGTGAGCTTAAAAATTTTGATAACTCGGGGAATCTTGTTTGGAATTTTTCTTTTTGGAAGCACCAGAGAAGTTTTGGAGAAGAAGGAGCATTATATGACTGCTACTCTTACTTCTCGAGTGTTGCTAACAATGTTAAGGGCTCATACCTGTAGAGCCTTTTCACAGTGACGCCACGTCCGCCATGTTGATTTCCTAAGACATTGATACGGCGGCCATGTTGTTGTCCCAAAAATGTAAGGGTTTTCCGTCGGGAGTATCTTATAACGCCCAAAGAGCCAAAATTCTATATTAATGGTCAGGGCCGCCGTAAAAATACAGTAACTCATCACTGTTAATTTGCGAAAGAGTCTGTTTTTGTATGGACAAGACATCATATTCAGTTGTAGATTTTTGCAGTGAAATTATAAGTAACCAGAATTCGCAGGAAATCTTCGTACCACTGCACTTGCTCCATAAGAATAATAGTGGGGCGATGTTTGCGTGCAAGAAGCCTCTGTTTGTAAATTATGTCAAATGTGAACGTAGTCTGCGATAAAGGCGAATTCTTCGGGCGAGCGAACGTTCAGTATTTTCTCTTTTATTTTTAGAACTAAAGTTTGATTGAAGTAGTGGGTCTTAGGTCCCTTTCTCACTCATTCCAACTGTTTTAATTAGAGTCAAACCGCGTTCTAGCCATTTTTCAGTTTACCACACTCTTTTATCTGAACACCATTTATCGAAACAGTATATAGTATATGTATCTTGTTAAAATAACCCACTTAGGAAGAGATCTGAAGATTCAGAGTTAGGCTTTGTTTAAATAACCAACTTACAACATTGCAGTTATTCAAAACCAAAGCGAGCCATACAACTCGCCAGAAAAAAAAAATGGTTATTTTAAGATGAAGACGTTGAAAGACGCCTTAAACGTCTCGACGTTAAATGCGTCTACTGTAAAGACGGCCGACGCCGTAAGCTGGGGCGCATTTGTGTCCAGCTGGACCAGATATGGCTGGAAAGACTAAGTGCTTGGCCTCTTTTTTGTTTGTTTATTTTTTGTTTTGTTTTTTTCGGCGTCCCGTTTTTGCACTAGTCGGCTTTAACCTCCCAGGCGTTAAATGCCTGAAGACGACTTCAACTTCTCTCAGTAGTAAAAACGCGGCGAATGCCTTTGTCGTAGACTTATGTAAACGTAGTTATTAACTAGCGAGGATTGCAGTCCAGTAGAATTTTTGTGGTGGGGAACTATAAGAACAGCGTGAGGCAATCGTGTCTTTCTCACGGTCCGCTGGAGCATTTCTCAGAGTAGTGAATATTTCTGGTCAATTCGTCTACATGCAACCATACGTAAAACGTATATTTCGCTTTATACCCTTGCGGTTAATTTGAAAGAGGCAATGAATCGATGTAGCCGAATTGACTTTCTAGCTTTGAGTTTTAATGTGGGCGAATTAACCATGGATTGTAGCACATACTACTTATTGCTCTTATTTAGATGTTAATTGTCAAAACCAATCGTTTTGTGGGCTGTATTACTTTAATAGGCCACTTCAGAGTTCCAAAAATCCTTACTTTCAAAATGAGGCCAGGGGCCCCGTTTCTCGACAGTCCCGGTAACTTTTCGAGCCCGAAATCAAATATTCAAATCGAAATGTAAAGAATAAGAGCGCGGGTCCTGGCTAGCAGACTACTCCATTTTGTTTCACTAACTGATAGTTCTATCATGCTAGATGCAAAACTTTTGAAACCTCGATCTTTAATATAAACGGACATGGCTTACCGGGCCCGTTAATTATCGGAACTTTCGAGAAACGGGCCCCAGGTGCGCAACCTTTCTTGTGAAAATGAGCTTTATTTGCATGAGAATGAAAAACGATTTCCATATCAAAGGCTGAGCACCTACCTTCGTTTTGAAACAGAGGCCCGGGGGAACTCGGAAATGGCCTATTACCACCTTAGTTTTGAAACCAAAAAAATGCTATGATTGTAGTAGAAAACAACATTTTGTTCTGATTATAGTGTAAAGGACAAAAAGCGTTAATTTCTCGTTTCTCTGCTGTTAGTTTCTTATTTGTCGCCCGTTAGTGAAGTCGGATACTTAACGCTTCTACCGTTTTTCCTCGTATAGGGAAATTGCCTTTCCCTGCTCACCCCCTTCCCCGCCTCACCATAGAATGAAGCCATCTCGATTGGAATGCAGAACCAAATAAGTTTGAGACTCAAATTCGTTTTTGCCTTTGCCTGACGTTCCAAGCTTCATGTACACAAAAGACTGAAGTTTTCTCGTAACCTTTCTGGCGAAAAATTTCGGGTTCTATCATCGACCCAAAATGTCTCTTAAAGCCTTCCTCTTCCCTCCCCTCCACTCCTCCTCGGGCCCACGCGTTTAGTTGCCACGCCGGAACAATGCAATACAGCTTCTCATTTCCGGTTCCGGTAGTTGGCCCCATCGCGAAGGACTTTTAATCCCTGCAGCGCGCCAAATTTACAGGAGGAATTTTCCTCCTGTGGGTTTTATCCAATCACGAACGGTTTTACTGATGCGCCGTCGATCAAACCCGATCACGCCGCATGAAACGTGACTCGAACTGTTTTGATCCAAATTGTAGCCTGCATGACAGGCGCTTTATGAGCCAAGCGGGGCGAACGCGATATTTCGCGGAGCGCGACACGAGCGCGAAGCGCGAGACGAGGGAAAGAGAAAAATAAAGCGCCTGTTCGCAGTCCATTGTTCTTGCTGTTCCACCAATGCTGGACCGTCTATCAGGTAGACGGTCATGCTGATTGGTCAATTAGCGCCACGTGATGATGACGTAAGTGATCAAGATTAGTAAACAAAAATGGCGGCCTTGAGTTTGGAAGAAGCGATAGAAAGTGCTCTCGAAAGTTTTCCCAATATCGATTGTTTAAAGGATGAACAGAAGAAATGTATCGCAGCACTGCTACAGAAGAAAGACGTGTTGGGTTTGTTACCAACAGGATTTGGTAAAAGCTTAATTTTCCAACTATATCCGCGAATCTTCGAGTTGGTGAACGGCAGGAAAAATTGTCACGTTGTCATTGTTAGCGCGTTGAATGCTATAACAGAAGAGCAGGTTCAGGAAACGGATGAAAATATACTAAAGGGCGATTACAAGTTGGTGTTTGGTAGTGCAGAAATGTGGCGTAAGTGGGCGGAACAGCAAGAACAATGGACTGCGAACAGGCGCTTTATTTTTCTCTTTCCCTCGTCTCGCGCTTCGCGCTCGTGTCGCGCTCCGCGCGAAATATCGCGTTCGCCCCGCTTGGCTCATAAAGCGCCTGTCATGCAGGCTATCCAAATTGAGATGTGTATTTTTTGGCGGGCTGTATTACGATTTCGTTTCATCGCCTGTATTCAAATACAAAGCCGAGTGCAAATGCGTTCTATTAAGGACGCGATCGTGTATGGGTTAAGGAAAGCCAACTACAAAGATCGATGTTCGGAGTGATCGAGGCTTTATTGCCGGCTTTCGCTACTTTCAGGGGACCGTAGTTTTTTATAGGGCAAAAAACTAATACACCTGTCAATGTAAAGCCGGCGGAAATGGAGGGGGGGGGAGGCACGGCATGGGGTGGGGATTTGACATTTTTCAAGAATTTGCAGTCAAATTCCCTGCCCACGGGCAAATCATTCCAGTCAAATGCAACCAAATTTCCCCACCCCGGGCTGCACATTGCGCTCTCAAATATCCCAAGGCTGGACCTGAGAAAGGCGCAATAAAAATATCTCTAAACAGAACTCTGAAATCTTTATTTATATTACGTTGCTGCATCACCAAAGATACATGTTCCTGTTACAGCTGCGATTATACGTTTGAAGCATAATCCGTGTTACACTGCGTAGAATACAGAAACCTTTCGGAGAAATTCCACATTTTGTAAGTTTAAATATACTGTTCTTAGTAAAGGGTACAAAGAAAGTCATTTTTATAAGTTTACAGTGATTGTAGCGAATGAGCCATACATTGTACTGATCAATTGTACTTGCAAAAATCGACTTGGTTGCTCTTTACTTCCGTTTACTTTGATACCACAGTATCCCCTTGAAGAGGTTCAATTGATCAAAAACACGCTAAAACAAACAAAATTTGGAGGCAAAACAGTGAAATCCACCCAGCTTCCGCTTGTTCTCGTTGGCCTCCATAATTTCCATCTTTCCAGACCGTACGGCGCATGCGTGAGGCGTGGAAGTGGGAAACATATGTTCGGTCTCAGTCCATTCTCGTCCCCAGAGCCACTCGACTTAATTTGTAACCGTTTACCGACCACGTGACCAAGAAACGACGGGCTCTGGAGACGAGAATGGTCTCAGTCTTTTTCGTTAGAGTCGGCAGTCAAATATCTCCACGTCGGGCGAAGAAAGATTCAAATATCCCCTCCCCTGGGAGAACAAGATCAGTCAAGTGCCCTACCCCAGGGCCAACAAAGACAATCAAATCCCCACCCCATGCCCTGCCTTCCCTCCCCCCGCCCCGCCGGCATACCCTTGATAGGTGCATAACTGAATGCACGAGCAAAATGACTAGTTTTATACGCGACAACTTGACGAATTTGCATGCCAAATGTAAAGTGAAGAACGAGAAAAAAACATTTCCTATAGTCACCTCTCTTGAATCTAACGGTAAACTGGTCAAAATCCAAAAAGTTGTCCCGTCTGCGATTCATAGTTCGGATTTTTTTTGACATGCTTTGTCAGTTCGCGACGACACATTCACGCGTCGACACAGGCGACAGGGACACAAATAGTTCGCGCCAAAATGAGTCACTTAGGGCCTGTTTACATGGAGTGGGGGACCCCGGTCTAGTGGGGTAGGTTTCTTTTGTTTTGTGTCCCCCACTCCATGTAAGCAGGGTCTTAATGCGATTTTTTGCAGGGGAAACAAGTCGAGCTCCCGCTCTCTCGCTCGCTTTTACCACAGAAAACATATTAAATCTACGTATACCGCTCCCGCTTCGCACTCATGAAAAAAAATTGAGCTCGACTTGTAGGCAAGTCTAGGCGGATACAAACCAAACTCAACAGATTTATAGCAAAGAGAAAATCACGCTGGCGTTGCGATGCTCGTGGGAAACACGAGCGCTTCGCGCGTGACGGGATTATAAACCTCGCGGCCAGGCGCTTTTCTTCTAGATTCGCTCGGAATTATTTATTTCAGAGAAATGTCGATAATTTCATGTATATGTAATATTAGTACCATTTATATTAGTAACATTTTAGACATTTGTAAACACATTGAGGCGTACGCGAAATGCGTGATAAGGGACGGGCCATTAGAAAAGTGATGGGGGGGGGGAATTTTCAGCTTGCACGAATTTTTTTTTTCGCTCCCGGCTTGTGCAGGAATTTTTTTTTCAGGTGAACCCCTCTGCACGAATTTTTTTTTAGACAAATATTGTTTTTTTTTTAACACTGAAATCTTGATTCATTATCCATGTTTTTGTGCTTTATAAATTATTCTACACTCACAACAGATCAAAGGATACAGGCCAGTTTAATGTACACACAGTGAGAAAGGAGGAAGCCACTTGGAGTGGACGGCTTCCCTGTGCATTTTTTCAGTCCCTGCCCTCTGGAATTCCTCTCGAACAGCCCATCATAATGATGCCATACTCCATTCACCAATGAAAACCATACTTTGTGGTTCTTAATTTTTGTTAAAAGTATCGGTGGCAGTGTTGCTGTTTATGTCGTTGACAGTTAAAGTTTTAACACTTACTACTACGTGTGAATGCACTTTTTCATTGTATTATAGAATTCTTATTCAAGGCGGTAAGACCCATCCTCTAATTTTTATTGTGGGCACAAATAATTCTATAGAATATTCACAAAGCTACCAAATTCTAATATTTATTTATTACAAATTTTATTTTATTATTTTTATTATAATACAGTATACAGTGTATGTTGTAGGTACACTAGCTGCAATTTAAAACAAAAACAAGATTCTAATTGTCTCCTTTCAATAAGAAGAAAGTGATTTTTGTTTATTCATATTGTGCCTGGTAATATTGTTGATTTCTGAAACTCAGACTTCCTGAAAGAGTCACAATTGGACCTTCCTTCTGCATGAACTTTTTTTCTTTACCTTCTTCTTTGCATGAATTTTTTTTCTCGGCATTTTCCCTTGCATGAATTTTTTTTTGGTTCCCCGCCCCCGCCTATCACTTTTCTAATGGTCCGTCCCTAAGAACCCCTATTATTATTACTAGTAATAGTTGACACTACAGCTGCCCCCGCTCTGTATATTGTCGGTCAATAGCATTCTTTCTCGTTGTATGGCTCTTTGAAATATACCGATTCATAAGGAGGATTTTCACACATACCGTAAAATTCCGAAAATAAGCCCCTCCATGTATAATCCCCTCCAAATATATATATATAGCTGACGTCATTGACCTTATATCTAAATCGGCGTCCGCTTTTGATCCAGTTCCGACTACGATCAGTTTCTTAGCAGTCGCTGTTTTAAAACCAGAATCTGTGGAACGTCGTCGCCACAGGTTTGCTTCTTACTTTCAGTTTAATGTATAACTTAAAACTAAGATCAACAAGGGCAGTCTTTTCCTTTGAGCACTCATGCGGTTACGCCATTGAATTAATGCCAATGCTCATAACTAACGCGAACGCTGCATAAACCAAGAGAATTCATTACGTTTTAAGTTTTAGCCGGTGGTTGTTCGATTTTCATTAGCTTGGTAAAGTAAGGCTGATTTTAAATTACTTTACGAACAATCTTCAGGTTGTTTACACGTAAATCAGTTAAAAATGTTAATCTTGTGAATTAGGCTTCACCTAACGTAGGTTCTATGTTCTGTATTTTTATGTTATGCGTTTGGTCTGACGTTCGAAATTGTGATCCACAGTCGTAATGAAAATGTCTAAACCCCGAAAAAGTCATACATCACGAGATTTTTACTTATTTCAAGATCTTCCTGTCTGCTTCAGGTCTCCACAACACCCAGACTGACGTCATTGCAACTCATTGTTAAAAAGGTTCTACGGCGCCCTTCGAATTCGGAACGCATTCCGTTTTCCCTAAATCTGAAATGCGATCAGTAGACTGCACGACAATAGAGATGTTGTTCTCATACAATTAATATCACTAATTTAAGTATACATTTAAAGGAAAATTTGTTGATCGCGTGTTGTAATTTGAATAGCTCGTGTGGCATTCAAATTACGTGATTACTTGCACATCTTTTGAAATGATTAAGTTGTTTGGACTTCCTGAACTGCATGTTCCTATCAGTTTCATATTCGTTGGCTTTTATCGAAATTTAAACGAGCGAGATATTTTTAAATGACGCTATTTTGATCTATTTTACCATACGTTTTCGCCTAGTTTTTTCCTGCACAGTTTTCGCCGAAATATTTTTCAGTCTCTCCTAATCAATGGTCAGTTTGAAATGTCAAATTTACATGTAATACAGCTCGTCTTAGCTTCTGCTGTGATTTTTTTTTTTTTTTTTTTGCCAGGGGTAGTTACCGGCGGAGGCGGATTAACATTTTGGGGGAGGCGAGGAAAGTGCGTTATTTGCGGGGAAAATGGCAAAAATACAGGGCCGTCGATAAAACCCGGAACACGGAACATTCCGGAACATGCCGGAACATTCCGGAACATTCCGGAACATCCCGGAACATGAAAAAATAAGAATAATTTTCATGAAAAAAATAAAATAAAATAATAATAATAAAATAATTTTTGTAAAAATTAATAATAACGTAAAATAACAAAAGAAAAACGAAAAATAATCAATTAATCAAGAAAAAGAAACTGATATCCTCTGTGAGTATGAGAAAACAATATTTTGTCGCAACAAATTAAAATTAGTTGGGCTAGTGAGGGTTCATGCAAATGACAGTAACGAGTGAAGGTTTGCTTCTAAATTCAAAATATATTAAAATGGGTCGCGAGGAGGGGGGGGGGGGGTTTAAGCTTTCCTCACACAGTTACCTCTTGTAATTGTTTGCTGTGAGTTAATTATTTGGCGGTTATCCATTTACGGTTCTGCAATGGTCTGAAATGTCGGTGCAGTATTTCATGTCAAGCCAAGTCGGTAAGTAGCTCATTTCAAGCCAACATATAGTCTCCTTATTTATAACCGACATTTGCTTACTTGAGGTGCTTTGCTTTCTTTGAACATGAATTAGGTACTTACAGACTAGGCGGCTCTGTGAACTTAAGAAGAGTATAGGGGCTCCTGTCTTTGGATTTTAGTCGACAATACTCACATTCGTAGTAGTTTCTATACTGTTTACAGTCAGCATGATATTTCAGACGTCTCCTCTAGTCGCAGGAGGAGTTTGCGGGGAGACGGCTAAAATTCAGGCTAACTGATAACAGTTAGAAACTACCGCTGCGCTACCACTGCCACTGCAAATATTCACGGTGAATCTGAATCTTTAATTTAATTACCCAAGTCCAAAGCGACAAGCCCCTAAGCTCTTCTTTCGGTCGCAAAGCCGTAAATGGATAACCGTTAAACCACATGGCAAACCTTTACAAGAGGTGGCTGTGTGACGAAAGTCTGAAAACCCTCTCCTCGCGACCCATTTTAATATATTTTGAATTAAGAAGCAAGCCTTCACTCATTAGGGTGACCAGGGTGAGTAGGATGACTGGGGACTGTCATTTGAATGGACCCTTACTCGCCCACTGCAAAAAATTCATTGCAACAAAATATTGTTTTCTCATACTCGGAGATTATAAGTAAGTAAGTAATAACTTTATTTAACGAGGGTAAAGACATTGATTACTGGTCACCCAGTAGTTTTCATAATGGCCCTCCTACAATTAAAGTAATAAAAAGTATCGATTATTTAATTAACTACCAATATAATCTACCAACTAAACTTACATAATAAACTACTGTTAATACAATATTGATTAATTGACTACTAATGAAACTAAAAGGTTTTACAAATCTTAAAATGATCAAGAGAAGAAATCAAACTACGATAAAGTTTAAATAAGTAATTTTTAAAATTAGTATGGGAGAGTGTCTTAGGTTCGGGATCAAGAGCGTTCCACAAACGGCAAGCACTTGATTGAAACGTTCGAAGGCCAGAGTTCCTTTTACAAGCTGGTGTTGTAATATTGTTATTGGAAACGGATCTCGTGTTATGATTATGGGTGTTACTTACATGTTCAATATATTTATTAAAATAAGCCGGGCAATGTCCTTGATTTATTTTATGAAGCATATAAAGCTTCCTAATACGTATAATATCATCTATAGGTAGCCAATCTAATTTGTTAAAAAGTATGACTGAGTTTTGGTGAGTATCAGCATCTAAAATAAGCCTAGCACATCGTTTCTGTAGTCGTAAAACTCTTTGGAGATTACCAACAGTACAGTTACCCCAGACCGTACAACAATACTCTAGTAATGGCTTGATGAGGGCATTATATAACATTTTCCTGCAAGCAAATTGGTTAAATAAACCTTAGCTCTTTTAAGGAGACATATTCTTGAGTTTAATTTTTTAATCAAATAGTCAATGTGTAAGTTCCATGAAAGGTTTGAGTCAATGACAACTCCGAGCAGCTTTATGATACCAGTTTCTTTTTCTTTCTTTCTTGGTTTGTTTCTTTATTTTTCGTTTTTATGTTATGTTATGTTATTTATTTTGTTATTATAAATTTTTGCAAAAATTGTTTTCTATCTATTGTTCCTTTTATTATTTATTATTATTATTATTATTATTATTATTATTATTATTATTTAGTTAATTAATAATTTTTTCATAAAAAAATATTCTAATTTTTTTATGTTCCGGGATGTTCCGGAATGTTCCGGGATGTTCCATGTTCCGGGTTTTATCGACGGCCAAAATACAGTTATGGAGCGTGGAGCAGAATCTGTTACGAAACTTTTTGCTTTTGAAATATTACCATATAGTTTGATTTTATTTTTCTTTACAATTTTTGGCAGACAAACGTTCTTGTGGACTGTGGAGTTAACAGAAACAGACAGAAATAAGAATTCTTGTTCAGGTGATGAACACGGTGTTGTAACTGGCGTTGTACAAACAGAGCTCACTGAGGTGAGGAATAAAAAACAATACCCTTACTTCAGCCTGTTTGATACCACATTTCATTGAATTATGTGCCATTCAAGAAACTGGCTAGCGGTAGGTTTTCATTAAATTCACCGTAGACCCGATGAACATCCTTGCGTACATTTTCAAAGGCCTTGGTTGCAGTCCAGCTCGCTGACCCGATTGTCTGTGTTTTAATCTCTCTCAAAAGGAACAACAGCATTAATTAATTATCTGTGCACTATTTTGTGCTCTTACATATATCAGAAAACACAGAAATAAATTTTAAAGATATAAATCAGATTACAGATACCGTATCTGCAATTATTAATCTTTAAATTTATTTCTGCAGAATAATTCAGCGAAGGTAAGGGCGTTATTTGCTGTGTTTAGACAAGGCAAGAAACAAAGTTATGCAACATAGAGCAGCTATTGTTCGAAGCATTTTTACAATTCGATCCACAAAATACAAGCCTAATACCTTGCAACATTATAATGGTGGTTGTTTGGTTGATAAAGGCGACGCAAAACAATAATAATAATATTAATAATAGATAATAATATTTTAATAGGAGGCCTCCTGAATCGCCTAACGGTGGTTTTCAGGAGGGGCCTCTGAAATGAGGGTCAAAAATGCATTAAAATAAAACTAAAATACGGCTAGAAACTACTACCAAAACTAACTAAAGGTTTAAGTTAAAAATACTAAGTTAGTACGTTCTCATACTGTTTTTTGCTGTGCTTCTAGTACGATGTAGATGAAAACGGACATGACGTCAGAAGCTGCAACCAATTACGATTCAAATAACAACGATGCTGGCCCACCTCAGCTGGCTGTTGGTCTTCCATCCATGGGAGATGTTACAAGAACATTGAAACAGCCAGATCTACCTGTTGATATTCTTTTAGTAACGGTTAAGGACTGCGAGTTCTTAGCTTGTTACAATGAGCTAAAGATCCCTTTAGATGTTATTTTGATGGTCTTGGTTACGTTTACTTCGCGGACGTTTTGGGAAGTCAGCCAGGGCGAGTGAAAGTAGCACTAATGAAGTGTCATCAAGGTTCTAACGGTCCGGGTGGCTCTCTGACTGCCGTTAAGAATGCCGCCCCTATTCTAGGACCTAAGACCGTGATATCTGTTGGAGCGTGCAGTGGTCTCAGCCCTGACAAAACCAAGTTAGGTGACGTTGTTGTATCAGCCAAACTAACAACATATGCATCCAAAGTAGTGACAAGCGACCAAGAGCAGTGGGCTGGTATTAGCAGTTACGTGAGCAGACGGTTTCTTAACATCATCACGAATTGCGCTGATGGGTGGCAACCACCTTTGAAGAACCCAGAAGATCGCTACATCAACGTTCATAACAATGGCGAGTTCTTAAGTGGTCCCGAGCAGATTAAAGCAGAATGGAGGCGAAAAGAACTTCTAGACCGTCATCCCCTCGCAAAGGGTGTAGAGATGGAGGGAGAAGGTGAGTGCGTGTCACTTTTAAAAGCGCCTCAAGCGTGCGCTACATGACCTCAAGGTCATGTAGGTAGCTATAATTCGACCAAATATATCTTCGCCGTTGTCAATGCCATAGTATGGTATAACACGTCGCAAACGTGTACCTTCATGGCTTAGGGTTTGATACATTTTCATTAATTTGCGTTTTTGTCACGTGCACTTTTTATCTTTATATATATACTCATTCGTGTACCTAACGTCGGTGGGAGAGTGAAACACAAGTTGTTTTTTCAACTGAGTTTATAGAAACAGTTTCATCATCATCATCATCATCATCATCATCATCATCAGGCGACCGAAGAGCAGTCGACAGTAAGTCCTGTAAGTCGTCTCCAACTGGCTCAGTCTTGGGCAGTGTGCACGATGTCATCCTCTGAAAAATGCTTATTCGGGTCAGTACATTTCTCTACTTGGCTGAAAATGGACTTCTGCGATCTCTCTGGGGGATTTGTACCGTGGGAGGGTTCATACAACGTGAAGATGTTGTCGGGTTATACCTTATTGTAAAAGAGATTGTTAAGTTTGATATTTCGAACGCCAGCCCTCTGTCAGAGCAGATCGTGGTATTGTTGTCTAGTTTCTGATATATGTCGAGTGATGCACTAGGAGCAACCCTCTTGGTGACGGCATGCAAACATAAAAAGAAAAACAGGAATAAAGAAGGTGTAGGAAAAATGTTCACAGAACTGAAAGTTGCAGTCAAAAAAGCAAAACCAAACGTCACGAAAATCATTATAACCTATCTTACTTTCTGTCCTTGGGTTGTAGAAATCTTTTGATTCAGCCTTTTCTTCTTGTCTCGGGTCTGTTTACTTTCAGTTTGCAAAAAAAGAGAAATTAATTGTCAAAAATATTATTAGATGCGAATTAGAAAGTTGACGATTGCAAGTGAGGGTATGCGCCAGTCAAATTTTTTTAGTTTCTTTTATGTATAAGAGGTAATTTTCAGAAAGTAATACATCCTAAATGTGTTCCATATTTTAGGTGTTTTCACAGCTGCATTTGATACTCAACTCGAGTGGCTCATTGTTAAAGGGATAGCTGACTTTGCGGATGGTGAGCAAGTGAATGCAGAACGTTGGGAAACCTGTGCTAGTGCCATGGCAGCATCTCTTGTATCACACATACTCAGTGATCCTGGTGTTTTTCGCACTTGGCCTCATTACCAAGGTATCGAATGTTTGTAAGTTTAGCCAGTTGTAACTTAATACAGGAGTAGAGGATAATTTGCGTTTAGTTGAAGGTACTTATTGGTTTGTCCAATGTTCCATATTCATTGCCATATTCATTGCCAATGTTAGTCATGAAACAAGATCGGCCTCATTAAACCACGAGTTTAACGTTTTAAGAGTAAACCTCCCTAGAGTCGCAATCGCCCGAGAAAGATGTCTGAGTCAACAAGCTGCTAATGCCGTTTAGTGACGTCACTACTTCTCTGCGGCAAAGACAGAAACATTGTCCGGAAAGGCGTACATGGTACAGAATTGTTTTACTGGAAGAAAGCCTTAAATCATGTTAAACGTTCAAACTGTTGACTGCACGCTGTATTCTGAATGAAACTTTTGTTTGTATAGCGCCGCAATTGAATAGTCAGACTCGGTCTCAACCACGCAACAATGAAATACATTGAGACACTTTCTTCAATTTGCTATAAAATAACAGAAGCTATTTGATCCTTTAAGCGAGAAGAAAGCAAGCAAGCTTGCTAGGAAAGAAAGAAAAACTGACACAATCAGTGCACTTGCCAGTGGAAATGAGTGACATTAAGATCGAAAATTTGCTAGCTTGACACAGGCTTGTTATAAATCTCACAAAAATCGATCACTTGTGCAATCAATGCTGAAACCACAAAGCGGCTCTGAATGAAAACCTACCGACTTTCCGCATTGATTCTTCATTGGTAGTTCAATTTAACAATAGTTCCGAAAACAGGGGTAAAGATAAAGATTGTCGAAATTTAGTGAACTCTAGACTACGAGTAGTCCCCCATTTTCCCTCAGGGATAGCAGAGCGAGCAAAACGCGCCGCGTGTCGCCTTTTTTTGCGTGGGTTGATTTTCAGGCGCGCTCGCGTTTTGCTCGCTCTACTATCCCTGATGAAAAATGGGGGACTACTCGTAGTCTAAGTGAACTCTACGCAAGCATGCGATCTGCTGATTGTCAAGATTATAAAATGACAGTCCGGCTAAACTTTCTCATAGTTATACATAATTTTGTGAATGTTTAGACAATCAACCGATCAAAATCACTAGCTGGTTTTCGGGTAGTGACCTCACTGGACGGTATTAGCGGCTCCTTGATCCAGACGTCTTTCTCAGGAGTTTGCGACTCGAGGAGACGGCTGGAATGCAGGCTATTTAAGAGTTGAATAAACTTGGTCGACAAACGTACATCTTTCTGTTCAGAAATCGAGACCATACATTTTCCCCTGGCAGCACAAAACACTAATGCTGTCTTTGTGTGAATCGTTTCAGTCGATGCTCCATTTGAGGCTCAGCTCGAAAGCAGCAGGAAGCGGAAGCTAACTGAGAACCATGCAGTTAATATACTAGCAACATTTTTTTAAAAATTCTCTTCTTTTAAATCCCTATCCATTACTTGTGTCGTTGTTTTTGTGTACTTTACTGCATTTTCATTTTAAAACATAGTGAGAAAACACAAATCAGGAGTGACGCACATAGCATAGAAAATGAGTTGCTTGACAGAATTGGCTTACCTCAGTCTATAATTTTGAATCAATTGCACTCAATTACAGTCTATCTGGAGGCAGAAATAAGTTCGTAAATCCGCCCTACCCAGCGGCCCCAAATACAACGTTGTGTCTATGCTCAAGTGGTCCTAGTCTCAGAATTATGTTTTCTTCAGCAGATGCTTTCTCCAATGATCAGAGCTCAACACAAACCAAAAGGGGAATGTATACTGTTAGTACATCTCAGCAAACTGAATCAATGACCCAGCAGCCTTTTACAGGTATCTCTTGGTTAAGTTACAATATATTGAATTGTGAACGCAATTAAAAATATATCGCCAGTTTATGGTTCGCTATATAGTTCAATTGAGTCAACCTTCAAAATGTATATCCGCTACCTGTTCCGTCGGTTTTCTTTTTGTTTTTGTTTTGTTTTTTAATTTGTTTTTTGTTTTTTTTGTTCCCTTTGTGCCTCACATCCTTTTGAAAATGCAGTAAAAAAAATATAGCCATGAGGCAAGTGTGTAACCTGATAGAGATGGCTTCAACGAGTCCATACAAGTACTTGTGAAGTGAGGTGGTGAATCTCCTCTACCAACAGCAAATATAAATGCTGTGTGGCATTGTAATAAAACGAAATCGATCTAATTTGTAGTGTTTTGTCTTCGTAGGGTTGCCCACTTATATCACAGAAAAGATTCGTCAGCTTTACAGAAGCCGTGAAGGGAAACTAGCGCCATTCGCGTGGTGCGATTATCCTAATTTTAACCTGAATGATATTTTTACCCGATTGAAGATTGTGAACAAAGAAACAGTACGAGGAACATTGACCGACAATGAAATCGCCAACATGACAGCCATCTTTAGACCCCACCCGAACTGCCAGAAGCCGCATAAAGTATTGATTGAAGGGGATCCTGGCATGGGAAAAACTACCTACTCACAAAAACTGGCGTATGACTGGGCAAACAAGCAAAATGAATGGGACGCGTCTTTTCCAGAGATTGAAGTTCTGCTCCTGCTTAGATGCAACGACATAAAATCTAGCATTTGGGAAGCTATTGATGATCAAATTCTTCCTGAAGATATCGACGAAAAGGCCAAGGAGACTTTCTTCAAATACATAAAGGAAAACCAGTCCAAAGTTCTGCTATTGCTGGATGGATTAGATGAGGCAGACCCCTGTGAACGAGACATCTACCTCTCACTGGTAACGTGTAAACTCCTCCCAGATTGTCACGTTGTCATTACTTCGCGTCATGAGGTTGGAAAGAAAGTAAGCCGATACTGTGACAACCTGTGGGAGATTGTAGGATTCACCAAGGAGGATTCGAAACGATTTATCGGAAACTATTTTCAGGGCAAGGAACACTTAGCTGAGGAGTTTATTGAAAGACACGTTAAACATTGGTATGCTGACCCACCTGATCCTAACCTCCGCAGCCTCTCCGATTTGGCGAAAAATCCGCTTAATTTGACTTTACTCTGTTGTATTTTCGAAGATTCCGAAAACGTTTTTCTTGAAAGCAGAACCCGATTGTACATTGAAATCGTTCTCCTTGTTTTAAGAAGATATGAAGAAAAAAATGGACTTGAAAGCAACAATGACCAAGACTTGATTTCAGTTTATAGGGAAAAACTCAAACTTTTGGGCCGGTTCGCGTTAGATTCCCTTCATAAGGGGAAGTCGTACTTTGAAAAAGAGAAGGATATCGACAATTTTGGATTCTTGTCTTTTCAACAAGGCGGCACTAGGAGCAAACCTTGCACACGCTGTGTATTTTCACACAAAAGCTTTCAGGAGTTTTTTGCTGGTTTTTATCTGGCGTTTCAGGTTAACGAAGGACAAATTGACTTTGCCCACGTTTTAACCGATGAAAGATATTTGAAGGAACTGAAAGAGGTTTTTTTGTTCATGAGTGGAATCATAGCAATCAAAAGCGAGAAAATTGGAGAATCCATCCTTATTTGTATGGCCAAGCATATCAGTGGTCTTCTTCGTAGATCCGACCAAAAAGTTAAATCGTATATGGCGTTGGCTTGTGAGTGTGTTTTTGAATGCGATTACAGCCCCCTTGTAAAATGCAAATCGAAAGATGAGGAGAGAAGGCTAACTTACTTGGAATATACTTTCGGTACGCACCTTGACATGTCCTCCCTCACTGAAGTGGATTTATCCTCCGCTGAAATAGAGAATGTTGGTGCTGCTGTGATTTCCGTGGTCCTCGAAAAAAACTCCTCCCTAACTCATTTGGATTTGAGTTTCAACAGCATTGACCAGGATGTTGCTTCTTCTCTTTCCAAGGCCCTCAAAGCAAACTCCTCCCTGACTTCTTTGAATTTGGAGGGTAATTTTATTGGTGAGGATGGTGCTTCTTCTCTTTCCAAGGTACTAAAAGCAAACTCCTCCCTGACTGATTTGAATTTGAGTGATAACAAAATTGGCGACGCCGGTGCTTCGTTTCTTTCCCAGGCCCTCAAGGCAAACTCCTCCCTGACTAATTTAAATTTGCGTATAAACAGAATTGGCGACGCTGGTGCTTCTTCTCTTTCTGACGCCCTAACAGCAAATTCCTCCCTGACTGATTTGAATTTGAGTTTAAACAGTATTGGCGACGCCGGTGCTTCTTCTCTTTCCAAGGCCCTCAAAGAAAACTCTTCCCTGACTGGTTTGAATTTGTTGGATAACAGAATTGGCAACGCTGGTGCTTCTTCTCTTTCTGACGCCCTAACAGCAAATTCCTCCCTGACTGATTTGAATTTGGGTTTAAACAGTATTGGCAACGCCGGTGCTTCGTTTCTTTCCAAGGCCCTCAAAGCAAACTCTTCCCTGACTGGTTTGAATTTGAGGCATAACATTATTGGCAACGCTGGTGCTTCTTCTCTTTTCGAAGCCCTCAAAGCAAACTCCTCCTTAAACAAATTGGATTTAACTGATAACTATGTGAGTGCCGTTGGTGCAGCTTCTTTTAAAGAGGCCTCTAAGATAAACAAAAAAGTGAATGTGCTCTTTTAAAAGGCCTGAATTTAATTTTTGCTAGTACGTCAGAGATTAAGGTTCTAATATTGACAGGCCCGAAGCGTGAACGTTAAAAGGCAAGGAAGCGGCTGGAAGTTATTATTTTGTTCATGTATCTTGTTCTTAAATTGCCTCGACAATAATTTTTGTCTCGGTGGGCTACGGTTCTAAATGTTTTTTCTTCGAGGACTTCTGCTGTGCTTCAAATGAAGAAACAGGTGTTTTTTAAAGGACCATGTTCGATCAGGCCTTTGTAGAGTGTCTTGAGTAATGACTGATATCAACAAGTCAGTAAAAGCTCTGTCTATTGATATTGAAATACAGATTAGGATTCTTGTCATGTACTTTTATGTCTCAAAAATTTTCTCTAACTGTGATTATCTGTTGATTTTGATGTATCTTTTGTCCACACTATGCAAAAGCATAGTCAAACTCTCCGAACTAACATAGTGCAGTCTTCTGGCTACTTCTTCTTTCCTTTTTCATTTAATTTTTTGTTTTCATTACCGTTCAATGTTAATATACTGTTGGTTTTCCAAGAGCACTAACCTACTCTTTACGCCTTAGCTTGCGTCTGTAAGGAGGCCCCCACAAAGGGTTCCTCAATCCCGTCTAGACTTAGACTGTGAGCGGTGTCTTATTCTCTCTTTTGAGACAAGGTAGAACGTAAGTACGAGAAGCGAGGACGGGCGCGAGAAGGCGAGCGGCGAGCGGCGAGCAGCGAAGCCGCGAGAGAAGAGGGCGGAGCCCAAGCGAAGAAAAAATAAGACTGCGATAGGATCTTTGATCTGGCGATTTGCCGTTTTTTACGCCTCCTTATTTGCTGTTATTAACAGCTCCTCCCTTTATTTCGCGTGCTTTTCCCTGTAAACAAACAGCTTGTCTTCGATTGTCTGTTCACTGCTGTCTCGTTCGGGCCATAGTTCTCCATGCAGTTATCTGTGAGATATTGCAATAATGGTGGCGTAATAAATCCTGAAAAACCCCCCAACAAAAGGGGGGGTTTCTCAAAGAAAGCGAGAAAGAAAGCAAAAAGGGCGAAGAAGCCTCGCAATATTATAGACCGGGCAAACTAATTGAAATTGTCCTTTCATCCTCGCACGTACTAAAAAAACTATGGTGCGAGAAGAGGACATATTTTGACCGAGAATATAGTCAAGGTTCCACAAAAGCAATTGGCTTCCTTGAAGACCATTTGGAAACTGGAGTGCAGTTCACGGACCTTGTCCGTTCGCCATGTGCTGCAAAAAGCCGCTGTGAAAACTGCACTCCTTTGGGACTTAGCTGTTTTGGTTGTTGACAGATTGACAAGTAGGCGACCAATCGGAATTCCGTTTCCCTGAAACGGTAATTCAAAGTACTATAAAACCTCCGCGGTCGTCCTTTTTCCTCTCCCGCCCCAATCTCTCTTCCTTTTTTGCCATTTTAAAATTTGCATAATTTTTCCTTTTCGTCGCCGCGCGAGGCTCGAAGGAAAGAAGCCTGACGACTGCTCGCGGTCTAGTCTAGACTGTGTCTCGCTCAATGCCGCAATTCCGACGTATTTTATCGCCAATTCCATATTCGAAAACATACGGGTTTTTTCTTCTTTCAATAAGTTGCTTATAAATGGTACATATTTCTTCATCACTGTCAACTCATTAGCCAAATATAAAGGATTTATTATTAGGATTAGCCTTAGCCTGCGTCGCAGATTGACTCTAAACCGTCTGACTGTATACCAATGGTTTAGACGATGCGTGAGCCGGCTGCAATACCGGCTAGATTAGCTAGCTAGCTGGAGGTTTTGTCAGCGAGCTTGAAAGTAAGCGACAAATCTGCGAAAGCGCGAGCAAAACCTCCTCATTCCTCTCGCTGCTTTACCGCTCACTCTTGATCCTTTCCATTTCCCCAATCTCCAACAAAACCGCTAGTTACGCGGGCTAGTTAACAATTATTCCTCGAGCCCGAATGGGCTATTGACTTAGAGGCCATAAGTGCGAGAGGAATAATTTTTTTAGTAAAATCCAACTAGTTGGTCCAAAAATCGAGAATAAAAAACTTTTAGCTGGTTAAAGCTAGACTTTAACTCTTTTTTGCCGCCAAAAAGCCCGCGCTTTCCTCTACTAGTGGGCTATAACATAGCCTAGTAGTAGCTCAACCAATCAGAACGCAGCATTGATAATAGATCACTAGTTGGATTTTACTAAGTTACGATATCCGCGTGACGGAACTCGTTTCTCTGGAGACAACATTCCCCGATTCCTGCATCGCCAGATCGGCAAATACCGCGTTCTCTTTTCCTCTAAAATTCCGAATCCCTGCCTTCAAATAAGCCAATTCCCTGTTTCCGGAAAAGCCTGCCGTGATTTATAAAAGCAACTGTGTAATCGTAACAATAGCAATGGGTTCATTCATTTGGAAAATATTTTATTGTTCTGTCGAATTTATTGTTAGTTAAGGTAAACGGATACCTTCACGTCGAAAATTATTTTTCATATGTTTGAATGATTGGTTACATTTAAAAGTAAAAGTCGGATGCTTCAATTTAAGAAACAATTCGGGAAATAATGTTCAATGTTTTGGCGCAAAAGCAAGAGGTAACCCGTTAATATTTTTAAAGTCTTTTTTAATCGATTTTTTAACAGGAGCGTTTCCTTTATAGTAAAAAGTTAACTTTAAAACAAGAGAATTTGTTTGATTGTCCTCAGGTATGGAGGGAAGTTAATTTAACATGTACACAACAAAAACTTGGCCGGAGATTTTTAATGACGTCCGATGATTCTCCTACAGCGTTTCCCAAATGGTCAAAACTATTGTACACAGACGCCGGGACCCACCCACCCCTCTACGGAAAAACTAGTGCCCACTCTTACCTGCAACATTATAGAAAGATGGTATCTTGTTTGAATATCCCAAAATGTGAAAGAAAAGTTAATGAGAAAGTCCTTGAGCATTTTGTCTGACAGTGCAAGTCTTATGCACACAAAAGATTTAACTGATATCTCAAATTTTCCGTCTAAAAATTCTGTCCCCGAGGCGTCATAAGGCGGGTGGTGTCTGGTATAACCTCACCAGCCCTGGTCAAGGTGGAACCACGTCGAGCTCACCCGTTTTGACCACTTCCCTAACTCAAGTACTTTCTTATGGAAATGACGCTTTTTTCACGCAACATGCATGGTGAGTTCTAAAAAAATCAACGTAATTCTTCCCGCGAAGCTAGTTTATAATTTTGTCGCGTGAGGAGGAGCGCAAGCGTAGTGTGATTTTGGGTGCGTTCCTTTGAGATGATTCGGATCAGGATCAGTGATCAAATGAACCGATGAATCCACTCTGGACAAGGATTCAAAGGCTCAATTTATGTACCATCAGATCCAAGTGACCTCGGATCACTTATCCTGATCCTGATCCGGATCCGGATCATCCCAAAGGAACGCGCCCGTTTGATTTCTTTCTATCGGTTTAGTATCCGTAGTTGCCCAACAACAGTGTATAACCTCAGTTACTCACTCACTCACTTGGTCGCCCGAAGGCGGGCAACCACTAGATCTTTCCACAGCCTCTTATCAGGCATCAGTACAGCAATCTCACTTGCTTCGAATGCCCCAGTATCCCTCTTAAGAGTGTCAATATAGGTAGTAATCGGTCTTCCTCTCCCGCGATGACCATGTGTGGGCTCCCATATATAGGACTAATTTCTGGGTACTTAGCTCCGGATGGCGATAACAGTGTCCCGCAAGATGTAGTCTACGAGAGGCGATTTTGTTGCTGACTGCTGGTAGATCCCCGTACAGTTGTTGGTTTGGTATGTGGCTGCTCCAGTGGATGTTTAAAGCCTTTCGCAGCATCCTAGTGTATGTTCCACCCAACGACTTTTCTTGTGCTTTTGACAGAGCCCAGCTCTCGCACCCATAAGGTAAGATTGATTCGATGGTGGCTATGAAGAATCTGATTTTCAAATCTTTACTCATTGGACTTCCATATTTTCGTCATACCATTCAAAGCTCTCCAAATATTTGAAGTCATCCTTGCATTCCAGATAAGTGCCATCAAGTGTATGTAATGGTGTTGGATCATCAATGTTATAACCTCAGTGGTACCCTAAAATTGGATCTACCAAGAGTTACTTCAACCTCCTATGGATTACAATCATTCAGATGTGCTGCTCCTCAAGTATGGAATACGCTGCCTGGTAACATAAGACCTTCTGAATCTCTCATTGCTTTTAAGCGCGCTATTCATAATATTACTGTCTAGATATATAATTGCCCCGGCAGGGATTTCGCCCAGATGGCGAAATCCCGAGGAGGTACTCTAGTAACTCGCGCGTATATTAAGAAAAGTACTTACAGTTGAAATATACAGTCATACAGTCAATATAGAAAAAATCTCGATTTGCTTGAACAGGGGCCGCGAGGAATCGGTAGGTAATGATGACGTTTCTATTGTTTGCACCCGCAAGTACGAAATTGTTAGGATGACGTAAAGACAGAACATCCCTAAGGGACCGCTTAAGTAGATTTTGTGACATTTATTGTGCAGTCATACTTGGACACTCTTTTGCGTTACGTGGTATCAGTGACATTTTGTGGAGCAGTTGTTTCAGTGAAAGTTATGGACCAAAATTTTAACGACACTCGATAAGCGCAGAAGAAGTTATAAGGTGCGTATAACTGTGTATATATAAACACTTGGAGAGTTTGCCAGACACGAGTTCACAAATCTTTCATTGGAAACCTTGCCAGACACTCCTCCTCTCTCTTAATCTTTGACCGGATAAGGCTCAGCCCCAAACAAGCAAGACGAGTGAACAACGGCTAGCTTCTCACTAGCAGAACGACGGACGATTACAGAAACTCACCGACAATCATATTCTGTGCTGACTTATTCCCTGCTCACAGATGTCCTTCCGCTATAAAGTTTAAAATAAGACTAGAATGCGCGAGTGTGAATTGATCAAACGTCCTTTTAATTTCTAAGGCTTCCTTTCCGGCAAATAAAATGAACTGAATGTAAAAAGTGAAAGAGAAATAGCGAAAAATTCAACTTCTATAAAAAATCTTTTCTTATGGCTCAGAATAAACTATTCTCCAAACTGAGAATGTTTTTATCAAAGCTGTGTAAATCGACCTGAAACTGTGCATGGAACTTTGCGTTTCCTGTATTTATCTCACCTATTGTATGGAATATGTGTGAAAATCTTCCTCATGAATCGGTATATTTCAAAGAGCTACACAACGAGCCAGAATGCTATTGACCGACAATATACAGAGCGGGGGCAGCTGTAGTGTCATCTATTACTAGTATATACTGATTCTTCTTTTTTTTTTTTTAAAGACTAGACTAATAACATGCGCATGCATAGCAATTTTATGCTTTCATGCTTTATCAGTTTTGTTGCATTTCTTAATATTATTAAACTCGGAGATACTAGCTCTCTTGAGCTATTCTAAATTCGAGTTTAAATAACATTATATGTATGTATGTATGTATGTATGTATGTATGTACCATAATGTCGCGACTAAGCTCCAATTGACGTATAAATTTTCTAGCCTGCGATCATGCCTTCTCCCTTTACCTCTGAAATCTGTTTTAAGCCAAAAAAAAAAAAATAAGCGTGATGTCAGGTTATGTAAACTCAGTCTGACTTCACGGTGCGGGTAAGTGCTTTTTTCGGTTTCCTACAGACTTTTGCTGTTACAGAAATGTGATTGGACACCAGATAGCTGCCGTCATTGGCCACACGACATCGATAAGTTCGATAGTGCAATAGTCTCTAATCTTGGAGCTTTTTAAAGTCGCTGTTTCTACCCGAATCCTTGCAACGCGGCTGCAGGTTTGCTTCTTACTTTAAGTTTGATAAATTACGTAAAACGTACATCTTTGAGCAGTCATGCAGTCATGCCATTGATTTGAATGTTCGTGCTGATAGCTACAATCAGTGTAGAGCGTGAATTCAACAGAGCATTCGCTTACTATTTCATTACGTTTCAGATTGTGATTGATCGAAGAGAAAACTAAACTTTTCAGTTTGCATTAGCTTAGCAAACCTTGCCAGCAATCTCCGGGTATTCTCCGGGTTAATTACATGTATGTCGATGATTTTAATCTTGTGAACTTAGCTTCACTGCAACGGAACGAGAGAAGAAAGTTCTTGTGCTTTTAGTTTGACGTTCAACTAGTGTACCACACAGGGACTTTTTTCACGACAGCTAACGTAAAGGCAATGATTCTCACAAATTGCCATCGAGTGAGAAAAGTAATTCATCAGTACCTCCTTTCTGTTCCTTTGGCTGACGGCTAGACGAAGTAATCGGATGAAATTCAGGCTACCAGACACTGCAGTCAACACGCTGTTATTGACTCATGATCAGCCCATTGAAATATGAAATATGATGGCTTACTGCCCGACAGTACTTTATGAGAAAAATGTTTTAAGCCATTATCATTTAAAGTAGTTATTGGCACAATCTTCGATTTGTTGATTGCGTGATATTTTTCAAGAGTCGCGTGGAATTTGAGTATTTGGCTTGCATGGTGTGATTACCTAACATATCATGTGACACGATTATATTATTAAAACTTCCTCTATTTCAGTTCCCGTCGTCATTTTCATTTTCGTTTGTTTTCCAGAAGCAAAAAAAAGAATAGAATCTTGCGTCAGTCGGCGAGAGTTTTCCAATGCTGCTGTTTACGGTATGTAGATATGATACAAATAATTTATTATGACTTACAGGCGCCGTGTCTCCCGCTTCTCTATACACTTACTCGATCTGTTTACCCTGCGCTTCACTCAATTTAGCGGAAGTAAAAGTTTACCTTATTTAAGATCTGTTCATTATAAGTTGAGCTTGTACATTAGCAAGAGAGAATGAGCTATTATCTCTTAATATTAGTACGTATAGTGGACCCTCAATTTAACGAACCTCTATATAACGAAGCCCTCGGTATAACGAATGTTAGTAAAATCCAACTAGTGGTTTATTATCAATGCTGCGTTCTGATTGGTTGAGCTACTACTAGGCTATATGTTATAACCCACTAGTAGCGAAAAGCGCACCTTTTTGGCGGCAAAAAAGGATTGAAGTCTTGCTTTAACTAGCTAAAAATTTTTTTTGCGATATTTTTGACCAACTAGTTGGATTTTACTAAAACAATTATTCCTCTCGCCCTTATGGCCTCTGAGTCAATCGGCCTCATGGGCTATTGACTCAGAGTCCATTCGGGCTCGAGGAATAATTGTTAAATATATATTGAAAACCAAGAAACGGCTGCCAGTTTCAAAGACAGGAGGAGAACTGAAAACATCCAAGGATGGAAAGAGATGCTATTATATGGGCAGTTTGCGAGACAGAGTGAAGATCAAAGAAACGATGAAACATGGACTTGGTTGAAAGAAGGAAAGCTTAACCGAGAAACAGAGTCCCTTATTGTTGCAGCACAAGATCAAGCAATAAGAACAAATTATGTAAAAGCAACAATCGACAGGTCACAGACCGATCCCAAATGTAAAATTTTCAATCAAAACAACGAGACCATCAGCCATTATTGTAAGTGTGTGTCCAAAACTGACACAAATATATAAAGATAGACATAACATCGTAGCTAGAGCAATCCATTGGGACCTGTCAGGAAAATATGGGTTTCAGCGAAATGAGAGGTGGTATGACCATGTTCCGGACAGTGTACTTGAAAATGAGGATCACAAGATACTGTTGGATTTTAGTATACGAACAGACCATGAAATTGAGGCTAGGAGACCGGATCTATTGATCATTAACAAAAGAGAGAACAACTGCCAAATTATAGACGTAGCAATTCCGGATGATGGAAGGGTGAGAGCAAAAGAGGACGAAAAAGTAGAAAAATATCAAGACTCGCTACAGAAATCTGAAAGATATGGGGCGTAAGGACAAAGGTGATACCCATAATGCCTGGGGCATTGGGCACAATACCGCTGAGGTTAAAAGAAAAGCTGAGGACCATTGGTGTTGACACATCCATTGAACTGATTCAGAGATGTGCCCTTTTGGGGTCAGCAAGGATCCTTAGGAAAGTGTTGGAGATGTAGACCAGGAACAAAAGTAGAATGAGGGACACTTCTTGGCTTCCCTAGGCGACGGGTTGTTGCCCGAAGCCAATGAAAACCACATTTAACACCTTTATCTGAGAGTATTAGCAATAATAAATAATATTTTAAAAGGAGGCCTCCAATCACCAATCACCAAACATTGGTTTTCAGGCGAGGGCCTCTAAAATAAAGGTCAAAAGGTAAAAAATGCATTGAAATAAAACTAAAATACAGCTAAAAGCTAATGCTAACACTAAGGTTTAAGTTAAAAATACTTACTAAGTTATTATAGTTCTCATACTGTTTTTGTGTGTGTGTGTGTGTGTGTGTGTGTGTGTGTGTGTGTGTGTGTGTGTGTGTGTGTGTGTGTTTCTAGTACGATGTAGATGAAAACGGACATGACGTCAGAAGCTGCAACAAACTCCGATTCAACTAACAGAGATACTGGCCCACCTCAGCTGGCTGTTGGTCTTCCATCCATGAAAGATGTTACAACAACATTGAAACAGCCAGACCTACCTGCTGATATTCTTTTAGTAACAGTTAAGGACTGCGAGTTCTTAGCTTGTTACAATGAGCTAAAAGATCCCTTTAGATGTTATTTTGATGGTCTTGGTTATGTTTACTTCGCGGACGTTGTCGGAAGTCAGCAAGGGCGAGTGAAAGTAGCACTAATGAAGTGCCATGAAGGTTCTAACGGTCCGGGTGGCTCTCTGACTGCCGTTAGGAATGCGGCCCCTATTCTACGACCTAAGGCCGTGATATCTGTTGGGGCATGCAGTGGTCTCAACCCTAACAAAACCAAGTTAGGTGACGTTGTTGTATCAGCCAAACTAACAACATATGCATCCAAAGTAGTGACAAGCGACCAAGAGCAGTGGGCTGGTATTTGCAGTCACGTCAGCAGACAGTTTCTTAACATCATCATGAATTGCGCTGATGGGTGGCAACCACCTTTGAAGAACCCAGAAGACCGCTACATCAACGTTCATAACAATGGCGTGTTCTTAAGTGGTCCAGAGCAGATCAGAGCAGAATGGAGGCGAAAAGAACTTCTAGACCGTCATTCCCTCGCAACAGGTGTAGAGATGGAGGGAGAAGGTGAGTGCATGTCACTTATAAAAGCGCCTCAAGCGTACGCATGCACAAGACCCTAAGCTATAATTCGACCATATCTTCGCCGTTGTCAACGTCAAAGAATGGTGTACTAACAAGTCGCAAACGCGTACCTTTAATAAAGGTACGCGTTTGTGACTTGTTAGTACACCATTCTTTGGCATTTTTATTTTGGCATTACATTTTCATTGCTTTGCGTTCTTGTCACGTGTGCTTTTTGTCTTTGTTCATTGACATAGATGTAAACCTAGAAATTTAAAGAGAGAAGAAATATTATAGTGAATTTCTCCATGGCAATTACTTTATATATTAGTTGGCAGTTGTACCGTATTTATTCGAATAAGCGCCCTACCTCGAATAAGCGCCCATCCTAAAGGCAGAAAGAGTTAATAAAAGCCCACTCCCAACCCACCTCCCTCCCACTCCAAGTCGAACTTAAATAAGCGCCCGCTCCCACCCCACCCCATTTCCCCACCCACCCCCTCCCCAAAAAATTGAATAATTACTAAAAAGAGACTTCCCTTAAGACGGAGTTTTCTTCAGAGTGTTTTACAGAAACCTTGTTTTGTTATGTCTTCATGTTTTGTTATTACCATTTATTATTTTGTTGCAAAATAAACATACTGCACTTGCTTAAAATGGTGAAAAATGTAATAAGCGCTCAGCCTCGAATAAGCACCCACTCTGAAGGTCCAAAAATTTAATAAGCCTCCAGGGCGGTTAATCGAATGAATACGGTATTGGATCATAATGTGAAAATATAGGTCACGTGTTTACACAGAAAGCAATAACTGATTTAACTTGTCCTTTATCGACTGATATATATATATATATATATCTGTCTGGATTTCATACAAGGTGCCTGTACTGAGTCTCTAGACGGTCAACTCCAAGGAGCCATTACTCACCCTCCCCACCCATGAAGCTTATAACTAGTCAATCACTTCCCCCAAGTCACAGCATTGATTTGGCTGGCCTAGGCCACAGGAAAAATTCTCTGACTTTGCACTGCTTTCTGACATAAAACTCTAACCAAAGTGACAAGATCTCCCCTCCCTACCCCCCTGGTTTTCACACAAAACAAGGAATCCACCCAGCCACGGACAGGTCTGGGCCTGGGCTCTCAGCTGACACCTAGCAAGACGGCAAGCCCCCTTGTTTTTTTCCGGCTACACTGGCTTGAACACGGGTGATGCCTGTGTTCATTTGAAAACTTAGCATGCACCTTTTAGCAAAATCACACAGAAAATAGCCTGGATATCTCTAAACCAAGCACAATCTCTTAGCTTCTGACAACATTTGCTAGCTCAGGGAGTGGCAATTGCATTCCCGAGCAATTAAATTCCCCACCGGGCTCAGATAAGCACTTAATATCTGTCTGGATTTCATACAAGGTGCCTGTACTGAGTCTCTAGACGGTCAACTCCAAGGAGCCATTACTCACCTGCCCCACCCATGATGCTTATGACTAGTCAATCACTTCCCGCAAGCTCTGCTAGTAGTGTTATGATTATGAGTCACTGCATTGATTTGGCTGGCCTAGGCCACAGGAAAAATTCTCTGACTTTGCACTGCTTTCTGACATAAAACTCTAACCAAAGTGACAAAATCTCCCCTCCCTACCCCCCTGGTTTTCACACAAAACAAGGAAGCCACCCAGCCACGGATAGGTCTGGGCCTGGGCTCTCAGCTGACACCTAGCAAGACGGCAAGCCCCCTTGTTTTCTTCCGGCTACACTGGCTTGAACACGGGCGATGCCCGTGTTCAAGCGAAAACTTAGCAGGCACCTTTTAGCAAAATCACACAGCTATATATATATATATATATATATACTTGTTCGCGTACCTAACTTCCTCAAGTCTAAAGCCTTGTCCACGGCGGAACATTATTGAATCAATTGATTTTCTTTATACTCTACAATAAAATATTGAATATCGTTTCCATGAGCGTCCCAACCCCCGCGTTTACGTGGAAAAGCTGGAATATGCTATTTCGCAACGAAACAAAGAATATCTTTTCTTCCATTTTCATTTCCTATTACATGTTTCTTGCCTTGTGGTAATAATATATATTTTTGTTTCGTTGAAAATATTTTGTGAAAATCGCATGACAAGACACTTCCGCGGTCCGCTTCTCATAGCAGACATACACTTAGCGACATTTTCGCGCAAAAATAGAGTCAAACAAGAGTCATACATGTAATCGGTAAAATAAATGGGAACATCATTTTATTTGTCTATGGTGTCAGGGTCTGATCTGGGATCGCCTGGATAGGTCCGACATGGACAGCTTTCAATCGTAACGCAGACCTTTAATTACAGTCGCAAATTAGGCTTAACCAAAGAAAAGGAATTAAGTCAGCTGTATTTAAAAAGTGGTTATTTTTGAAGAAACTGCGGTACAAGGTCGGTAGAAGGGTGAAACGCAATTTTTTTCAACTGAAATTATAGAATTAATTTTATTATCGTAGATCATCATCATCATCGGTCGACCGAAGACCAGTCGACTGTAAGGCGTCTCCAACTAACTTCGGTCTTGCGTAGTGGGCACGATGCCTCCCTCTTAGAAATGCTTATTGGGGTCGGTACATTTCTGTACTTGGCTGAAAAAGGACTTCTGCGGTCTCCCTGGGGGTTTTCTACCGTGGAGGGCTTATACAACGTGTAGATATTGGCGGGTTTTACCTGAACGTAAAAGAGATTGTAAGTTTGATATTTCAAACGCCAGCCCTTTGTCAGAGCAAACCGAGGTATTGTTGTCTGGTTTATCCCATATATCGAGTGGTGGACTAGGAGCAACCCTGTTGGTGGCGGTATGGAAACATGAAAAAAAAAAAAAAAAACAGGAATAAAGAAAGTGTAGGAAAAATGTCCACTGAAAAAAGTTGTTGTCAAAAAAGCAAAACCAAACATCACGAAAATCATAACCTATCCTACTTTCTGTCCTTGGGTTGTAGGCATCTTTTGATTCAGTCTTTTCTTGTCTCTTGTCTTTTGACTTCCAGTTTGCAATAAAAGAGAAATTTTCATTCAAGTTTAATCGTCAAAAATATTAATAGATCCGAATTTGAAAGTAAAGAATTGCAAGTGAGTCTATTTGCCAGGCAATTGATTTTTTAGTTTCTTTCATCTATAAGAGGTCATTTACAAAAAATAATATATCCTAAATGTGTTCCATATTTTAGGTGTTTTCACAGCTGCATATGATACTCAACTCGAGTGGCTCATTGTTAAAGGGATAGCTGATTTTGCAGATGGTGAGCAAGTGAATGCAGGAAGTTGGAAAGCCTGTGCTAGTGCGATGGCAGCATCTCTTGTCTCACACATACTAAGTGATCCTGGTGTTTTTCGTACTTGGCCTCATTACCAAGGTATCGATTGTTTTTAAGTTTAGCTAGTTATAACTTAATGTAGGGGTAGAAGAGAATTTGCGTTTAGTTGAAGGTACTTCTAATTAAATGCGTTTCTCCAATGTTCCATATTCATTGCCAAGTGACCTCACATTAGTCATGAAACAAGATCGGCCTTATTAAACTATGAGTTTAACGTTTTAAGAGTAAACCTCCCTCGAGTCGCAATCGCCCGCGTAAGACGTCTGAATCTACGAACCGCTAATGCCGTCCAGTGACGTCACTACTTCTCTGCGGCAAAGACAGAAATATTGTCCGGAGAGGTGTACATGGTACAGAATTGTTTTAAATACTAGAAGAAAGTCTTAACTCATGTTACAGGTTAAACTGTTGACTGGACGCTGTATTCTAAACGAATCTCTTGCTTGTATCGCGCCATGATTAATTGATTAATCAGACTCGATCTCATCCACGCAATAATGAAATACACATGCGACACTTCCTTCAATTTGCTTTAATTTAAAAGAAGCTATTTGGTCCTTTAGGAAGAAGAAAGCAAGCAAGCTAGCTAGGAAAGAAAGAAAAACTAACATAATCATTGTACTTGCCAGTGGAAATGACATTAAGTTCGAAAATTTGCTATCTTGAGACAGGCTTGTTATAAATCTCACAAAATCGATCACTTGATTCGCTTCCGGAAGCGGAAGCTAACTGAGAACCATGCACTTAATATATTAGCCACATTCTTTTAAAATTCTCTTCTTTAAAATGCCTTCCCATTACTTGTTTCGCTGTTTCTGTATACTTTCCTGCACTTTCATTTTAAAACATAGTGAGAAAACATAAATCAGGGGTCACGTACATAGTGACGCAAATGAGTCGCCTCATAGAATTAGCTTTACCTCAGTCCTCACTTTTGAATCAATTGCACTCAATTACAGTCCAACATAGGAGGCGGAAATAAAGTCGTAAATCTGCCCCAGCCGGCGGTTCCAAATACAACGTTGTGTCTATGTTCAAGTGGTCCTAGTCTCAAAATTATGTTTTCCTCAGCAGGTGCTTTCTCCGATGATCAGAGCTTAACACAAACCAAAAGGGGAATGTATACCGTTAGTACATCTCAGCAAACTGAATGCATGACCCAGCAGCCTCTTGCAGGTATCTCTTGGTTAAGTTACAATATATTGAATTGTGAACGGGACTAAAAATCTATGGCCAGTTTATGGTTCACTGTATACTTCAATTAAAGTCCACCTTTGAAACGTATATCCGCTACCTGTTCCGCCAGTTTTTTTTTTTGTTGTTGTTTTTTGTTGTTGTTGTTGTTGTTTTTTTTGTTCCCTTTGTGCCTCACATCCTTTTCAAAATGCAGTAAAAAAAAAAAAAAAAAAAAGAGCCAGGAGGCAAGTGTGTCACCTGATAGAGATGGCTTCAACGAGTCCGTACATGTACTTGTGAACTGAGGTCGTGAATCTCCTCTACCAACAGCAAATGTAAATGCTGTGTGGCATTGTAATAAAACGAAATCGATCTAATTTGTAGTATTTTGTCTTCGTAGGGTTGCCCACTTATATCACAGAAAAGATTCGTCAGCTTTACCGAGGCCGTGAAGGGAAACTAGCACCATTCGCTTGGTGTGATTATCCTAATTTTAATCTGAATGCTATGTTAACACGATCGAAGATTGTGGACAGGGAAAAAGCTCGAGGAACATTGACCGACGGTAAAATCACCAACATGACAGCCATCTTTAGCTAAAGAGTTTAAGACGGAATTAACCAGGGCACTGAGTAATTTTTATTTTCAGTGGACAAAAGTCTTGTACCAGAATAATTTAAAGAATATTGCATTCTTTCTTACATTTTTCAAGGGCTAAAGATGTAATAAATCATCTATAATAACACCAAAGAAAATTTCTCAAGGAAGCCCGAGAAAATGAAAGTCAAATTTCACACAATTACATCTTACACATGAAATTTTCAGAATTTTACCTGTGTAATCACAATTCTTGTGAAATTTGACATTCCCGGCTGCAACGCAGGCTAATTTTCTCGGGCTTCCGTGAGAAATTTTCTTTGGTGTTACTACAGATGATTTATTACATCTTAAGCCCTTGGAAAATGTAAAAAAGAATGGAATAATTTTTAAATTATTCTGGTACAAGGTTTTTGTCCACTGAAAATTAAAATTAATCAATTTCCTGGTGGATTCCGTCTTAACATTTTAAGAGTAAACCTCTCTTTGAGTCGCAATCGCCCGAGAAAGACGTATGAGTCAACAAGCCGCTAATGTCGTTCACCCGGGGGGGGTACTCGCAGAAAAATTGGGTAGGGGTGTGCGGCCCGCTTCCCAAAACCCTTACCCTATTTATGACCAAAATCTGCGATTTTCCCTAACCTATTTATGACCTAACCAAAAATTTGATACCCTATTTATGACCTGACCCTTAAATCAATACCCTGTTTCAGACCTGCCTTATAATTATTTCCCTAGTTCAGACCAATGTTAAAGGCAATGTTTATCTGCTTTTATTAGGTTAGGGGGACATGATAAGGAAATAGCTTCTTCTAAAAAAGTGCATTCAAGACTACAGTGCAAAAATCGTTACTCTATCTATGACCAAAATGGCGGCAAAATAGCCAAAATCGATACCCAATTTATGACCAAAACGGCTGAAAAACCCTACCCTTTGGGGCCGCACATACCTATATAGCCCATATTAGGGAGTACCCCCGCCCCCCGGGGTCGTTCAGTGACGTCACTACTTCTCTGCGGCAAAGACAGAAATATTGTCCGGAAAAGTGTACATGGTACAGAATCGTTTTACTGGAAGAAAGCCTTAAATCATGTTAAACGTTCAAACTGTTGACTGCACGCTGTATTCTGAATGAAACTTTTGCTTGTATAGCGCCATAATTGAATAGTCAGACTCGATCTCAGCAACATAATAATGAAACACATTGAGACACTTCCTTCAATTTCCTATAAAATAACAGAAGCTATTTGGTCCTTTAAGAAGAAGAAAGCAAGCAAGCTAGCTGGGAAAGAAAAAAAAACTAACACAATCAGTACACTTGCCAGTGGAAATGACATTAAGTTCGTAAATTTGCTAGTTCGACACAGGCTTGTTATAAATCTTACAAAAATCGATCACTTGTGCAATCAATGTTGAAACCACAAAGCGGCTCTGAATGAAAACCAACCGACTTTCCGCATTGATTCTTCATTGGTAGTTCAATTTAAAGATAGTTTCGAAAACAGGGGTAAAGGTAAAGATTGTCGAAATTTAGTGACCTCTACGCAAGCATGCGATCTGCTGATTGTCAAGCTTATCAAATGACAGTCCCGCTAAAATTTCTCATAGTCATAGATAATTTTGTGAATGTTTAGACAATCAACCGATCAAAATCACTAGCTGGTTTTCGGGTAGTGACGTTACTGGACGGTATTAGCGGCTCGTTGATTCAGACGTCTTTCTCGGGAGTTTGCGACTCAAGGAGACGGCTGAAATTCAAGCTATTTAAGAGTTGAATAAACTTGGTCGACAAACTTTTATACATGTTTCTGTTCAGAAATCGAGACCATACATTTTCCCCTAGCAGCACAAAACACTAATGTTGTCTTTGCGTGAATCGTTTCAGTTGATGCTCCCTTTGAGGCTCAGCTCGAAAGCAGCAGGAAGCGGAAGCTAACTGAGAACCATGCAGGTAATATTTTAGCAACATAAAATGCCTACCCATTACTTGTTTCATTGTTTCTGTACACTTTGTGCATCTTCATTTTAAAACACAGTGAGAAAACATAAATCAAGAGTCGCGCACATAGTGAAGCAAAAAAGTCTCATCATAGAATTAGCTTTACCTCAGTCTACACTTTTGAATCAATTGCACTCAATTACAGCCTATCAGGAGGCGCAAATGAGGTCGTAAATCCGCCCCACCCAGCGGCTCCAAATGCAACGTTGTGTCTATGCTCAAGTGGTCCTAGTCTCAGAATTATGTTTTCTTCAGCAGGTGCTTTCTCCAATGATCAGAGCTCAACACAAACCAAAAGGGGAATGTATACTGTTAGTACATCTCAGCAAACTGAGTCCATGACCCAGCAGCCTCTTGCAGGTATCTCTTGGTTAAGTTACAATATATTGAATTGTGAACGGGACTAAAAATCTATGGCCGGTTTATGGTTCACTGTATACTTCAATTAAAGTCCAACTTTAAAATATATATCCGCTACCGGTTCCGCCGGTTTTTGTTGTTTTGTTCTTTTCTTTTGTACCCTTTGTGCCTCACATTCTTTTCAAAACGCAGCAAACAAAAAATATAGGCGGGAGGCAAGTGTGTCACGTGATAGAGATGGCTTCACACGAGTCCATACATGTACTTGTGAACTGAGGTCGTTAATCTCCTCTACCAACAGCAAATGTAAATGCTGTGTGGCATTGTAATAAAACGAAATCGATCTAATTTGTAGTATTTTGTCTTCGTAGGGTTGCCCACTTATATCACAGAAAAGATTCGTCAGCTTTACCGAGGCCGTGAAGGGAAACTAGCACCATTCGCTTGGTGTGATTATCCTAATTTTAATCTGAATGATGTGTTTACACGATTGAAGATTGTGGACAGAGAAACAGCGCGAGAAACATTGACCGACGATGAAATCACCAACATGACAGGCATCTTTAGACCCCACCCGAAGTGCCAGAAGCCTCATAAAGTATTGATTGAAGGGGATCCTGGCATGGGAAAAACTACCTACTCACAAAAACTGGCGTATGACTGGGCAAACAAACAAAATGAATGGGACCCGTCCTTTCCAGAGATTGAAGTTTTGCTCTTGCTTAGATGCAACGACATAAAATCGAGCATTTGGAGGGCTATTGATGATCAAATTCTTCCTGAAGATATCGACGAAAAGGCCAAGGAGACTTTCTTCAAATACATAAAGGAAAATCAATCCAAAGTTCTGCTATTGCTGGATGGATTAGATGAGGCAGACCCCTGTGAACAAGACATCTACCTCTCGCTGGTCACGTGTAAACTCCTCTCAGCTTGTCACGTTGTCATCACTTCGCGTCATGAGGTTGGACAGAAAGTAAGCCGATACTGTGATACCCTGTGGGAGATTGTAGGATTCACCAAAGAGGATTCGAAAAGCTTTATCAGAAAATTTTTTCGGGGCAAGGATCACTTAGCTGAGAAGTTTATTAATGATCATGTTGAATATTGGTATGCTGACCCAACTGATGATATTAACCGCGGCTTCGCCGATTTGGCGAAAAATCCACTTAACTTGACTTTACTCTGTTGTATTTTCGAAGATTCCGAAAAAAATTTTTCTGAAAGCAGCAGAACCCGATTGTACATTGAAATCCTTCTCCTTGTTTTAAGAAGATATCAAGAAAAAAATGGACTTAAAAGCAGCAATGGTCAAGACTTGATTTCAGTTTATAGGGAAAAAATCAAACTTTTGGGCCGGTTCTCGTTAGATTCCCTTCTTAAGGGGAAGTGGTACTTTGTAAAAGAAAAGGATATGGACAACTTTGGATTCTTCTCTTTTCAACAAGGCGGCACGAAGAGCAAACCTTGCACACGCTGTGTATTTTCACACAAAAGCTTTCAGGAGTTTTTTGCTGGTTTTTATCTTGCGTTTCAGATTATCGACGGACAAATTAACTTTGCCGACGTTTTAAACGATGAAAGATATTTGAAGGAACTGAAAGAGGTCTTTTTGTTCATGAGTGGAATCATGGCATCAGAAAGCGAGAAAAGTGTAAAATCCACCCTTATTAGTATGGCCAAGCATATCAGTGGTCTTCTCCGTACATCTGACCAAAACGTTAAATCGTATATGGCGTTGGCTTGTGCGTGTGTTGTGGAATGCGATCTAAGCCTTGTAAAATGGAAATGGAAAGATGAAGAGAGAAGGCTAACTTGCTTAAGATATACTTTCGCTAAGCACCTTGACATGTCCTCCCTCACTGAAGTGGATTTGTCCAGCGCTGAAATTATGAATGTTGGTGCTGTTGTGATTTCCGTGGTCCTCGAAAGAAGCTCCTCCCTAACTCATTTGGATTTGAGTTTCAACCACATTGACGGCGATGTTGCTTCTTCCCTTTCCTGGTACTCCTCCCTGACTTTTTTGAATTTGCAGGGTAATTTTATTGGTGACACCGGTGCTTCTTCTCTGTCGCAGGCCCTCAAAGCAAACTCCTCCCTGATTAATTTGAATTTGAGTCTAAACAGTATTGGCGACGCCGGTGCTTCTTCTCTTTCTCAAGCCCTCCAAGCAAACTCCTCCCTGACTAATTTGAATTTGAGTCTAAACAGTATTGGCGACGCCGGTGCTTCTTTTCTTTCCAAGGCCCTCAAAGCAAACTCCTCCCTGACTGATTTGAATTTGAGTTCAACCAGTATTGGCGACGCCGGTGCTTCTTGTTTTCCCAGGCCCTCAAAGCAAACTCCTCCCTGACTAATTTGAATTTGAGTGTAAACAGTATTGGCGACGTCGGTGCTTCCTCACTTTCTAAGGCCCTCAAAGCAAACTCCTCCCTGGCTAATTTGAATTTGAGTATAAACAAAATTGACGACGCCGGTGCTTCTTCTCTTTCCAAGGCCCTCAAAGCAAACTCCTCCCTGACCGATTTGGATTTGAGTGATAACAGTATTGGTGACGCCGGTGCGTCTTCTCTTTCTAAAGCCCTAACAGCAAACTCCTCTCTGACTGCTTTGGATTTGAGCTATGATATTATTGGTGACGTTGGTGCTTCTTGTCTTTCCCAGGCCCTCAAAACAAATTCCTCCATGAACATGTTGGATTTGACTTATAACAGTGTGGGTGTCGCTGGTGCAGCTTCTCTTAATGAGGCGTGTAAGATAAACAAAAAAGTGGATGTACGTTTATAAAAGGAGGATTAATTTAATTTGTACTAGTAAGTCAAAGATTAAGGTTGTAATATTGAAATGCCCGAAGTATGAAAGTTAAAAGGCAAGGAAGCGGCTGGAAGTTACTTGTTCATGTATCTCGTTCTTAAATTGTCTCGACAAGAATTTTTGTCTCGGTGGGCTATGGTTTTAATTGATTTTTCTTCGAGGACCTCTCAGTGTGCTTCAAATAAAGAAACAAGTGTTTTTTAAAGAAACATGTTTGATTCGGTTTTTGTAGAGTGTCTTGTGTAATGACTGATATTAACAAGTAAAAGCTCTGTCTATTGATACTGAAATACAGATTAGGATTCTTGTCATGTATTTTTATTCTCATTTATTTTCTGTAACTGGTGATTATCTGTTGATTTTGATGTATCTATTGCCTACACTACGCAAAAGTATAGTCAAACTCTCCCCTTTAACTGACAAAGTGCAGTCTTCTGGCCACTTCTTGTTTCCTTTTTTATATGAATTTTTTTTTCATCACCGTTCAATGTTAATATAATGTTGGTTTTCCAAGAGCACTAACCTACTCTTTACGCCTTAGGTTGCGTCTGTAAGGAGGCCCCCAAATAGGGTTCCTCAATCCCGTCTAGACTTAGACTGTGAGCGGTGTCTTATTTTTCTTTTGAGACACGGTAGAATGCAAGCACGAGAAACGAGGACGGGCGTGAGGGGCGAGCGGCGAAGCTGCGAGAGACGAGGGCGGAGCCCAAGCGAAAAATAAATAAGAGACTGCGATAGGATCTCTGATCTGGCGATTTGCCGTTTTTCACGCCTCCTTTTTTGCTGTTATTGACAGCTCCTCGATCCCTTTATTTCGCGTGCTTTTCGCTGTAAACAAACAGCCTGTCTTTGATTGTCTTTTCACTGCTGTTTGGTTATAATAATAATAATAATGATAATAATAATAATAATCTTAATTGAGATGACTTTTTCATATAAAATATGGTTTTCAAAAAGGATCTCGTAGTTCTCCAGTTATCGGTGAAATATTGCAATAATGGGGGCGCAATAAATCCTGAAAATCCCGGAAAAGAAGGGGAGTTTCTAAAAGAAAGCGAAAAAGAAAGCAAAAAGGGTCCAGAAGCCTCGCAATATTATAGACCGGGCAAACTAACTGAAATTATCCTTTCATCCTCACGTACTAAAAAAACTATGGTGCGAAAAGAGGACATATTTTGACCGAGAATATAGTCAAGGTTCAACAAAAGCAATTGGCTTCCTTGAAGACCATTTGGAACCGTGGAGTGCAGTTCACGGACCCTGTTCGCCATGTGTTGCAAAAAGCCGCCGTGAAAATTGCACTCCTTTGGGACTGAGCTGTTTTTGTTTTTGACAGATTGACAAGTAGGCGACCAATGAAACGGTAACTCAAAGTACGATTAAACCTCCGCGGTCGTCCTTTTTCCTCTCCCGCCCCAATCTCTCCTCCTTTTTTGCCATTTTAAAATTTGCGTAATTTTACCTTTTCGTTCGCCGCGCGTGGGTCTAAGGAAAGAAAGACGACCGCCCGCTGTCTAGTCTAGACTGTGTCTCGCTCAATCCGAAACCGGAAACCGCGCATGAAAAGCCTCTGGCACCCAGGGTACCCTTGGGACAGAAGTAAGAGGCTGTTGTGGAGAATAAGGTGCCGGTTCTGAGTCAGCGGGTGTAACATTTGACTCCTGGCCTGTTTTGAAGAAAATTTTTCCTATTGGAAATACTGATTACAGCATATCAGCACGCAGCACAATCAAAATACATCAATAAATCGTTTTCACTCGCGTGGTCGGCGACTATACAATTTATTTGAAACAAATTTCGAAGGGGAAGGGGAAGGGAATATTAATTAGGGCGCTAGACCACGCGCGAGGGAGGAGGGAGGAGGGAGGAGGGAGGAGGGAGGAGAGGAACGCCGGGGGGGGATCCGCATATGAAAGGGGTGGGGATGCTCGTCGGAAATTTTGAATTAAACCCATAAAGGAGACCAATCGGGACATGGCCCAACCTTTTTTTCACCCCTAAAAGCGATCATCTTATACTTTGATTACGTGAATCGAGTAAATAAAACGAATTGAAAATATACAATTTTTTAATATTTTTTCGATTGCAACCCTAAAAGATACCTTTATGGCTAAATATAATAGCGTTTTGCCCAGAACACCCTAAGCGAGACCAAAATCCGAAATTACAGCAATAAGCGAGACGACGAGCATCCCCTCCCCTTTCATATACGGAGTCCCCTCCTCCGGTGGGGAAAACGCCCGCAAGGAAGCCATTGTTTTCGCCATCCTGCCTACTAAATAAAAAAATGCCGGTTTCATTGTTGTGGTACACCGATGTGGCGGTCATTACGTCATGCGGAAACGAAGTAGGTTCGTCGTAGCCTACAGGCCGTGCGAGGATAACGCGCGACGGGAAGAAAATGCTTCCTCTCCTTTTCTACCTTTGCGCGCGCGTCGTCGAGATTTCTCCCTTCGCTCTAAAAAGCCGGCGTCTGCAACGCAGGCTAAGCCTGTCTACGCAGACGTTTTTCCAGTTGTCGCTAAAAGTAACATCGTTACTTTTCTGGTGGAGAAAACTCAGAATCGGAAGTACATCTGGGTTCGCAGGCTGCCAAATGTTGTGAACAAGGAGTTAAACAAATTAAAACAAAACAGTGAGGTACAATTTGTACATTAATTGGCAATTGGGTCGTACTTTAATGGCCGTTTCATGTACATTTGTAACCTGCGTAGCTGGCGGGATCCTTCATGAAAGCGACCCGGCCCTCTGCCTTCTCCCCACTCCCACCGTTTGAAATGCCCCTGTTAATACTACTAAGTAACTGTTAATGCTTCAATTGCCTGATGTTCCAAGCTTCATGCCACAGTATACAAAAGAGTGAGTGAGAGGGAGAAAGGAAAGGGACGCCTGCAAGGACAACATTGTTTTCTCCATTTTTCACGCTCAGATTCTGAGCACCGGAAAATAGTGATTGGTCAGAATTAATTTAATTATAACAGGGAATTGAGCATAGCAACCGTCACTCAACGTAATTAGTAAAGGGACTTTATGCGGCTCCTCATATGTCACTCGGTCTTGTCTTTTCGTCTCTTACCTCTCTTCGTTGTTTAGTTTCGCCTATTTGACCGCGCTAGCCTGGGAACGAGAAAAGGAATAAAGAGGAACTGTTGTGGAACTGCCCGTTCATTTGTCGAAGTAACAAAAAATTTTCAATTCGAAAATTTTGTTAAAATTATTGATTGTTTGAATATTAAAAAAAAAACCTTCATTATACATTGAAGAAAAAGTCCCACTTACACATACCTTTCAATATCTCGGAGAAATCTGATCTTTTTCGTGTACCATCAGGAGCACATCAATATCCTGGTACCATTAAATTCTACAGTGCCTCATAAGATGCGCCTGTTCGAAATATTTAATTAAGAGCATTTCAAATACCTTAAAGATGAATCTCCCTATAGCTTTTCATATACTTCAACTCATGAAATCCCTACCCTTACACTCAGGCATGAATAGATTGTGCTAGTAAATTCAGGAAAAGTTGCTTCACAATATACCCAAAAGTTACTCTAAAGTTGCTCAAATATCAAAAAGTTGCCACCAAAATTTAGAAAAGTTGCTTGCTCTAGAGTCGTTTTGTTTTAGATAAATACTCAAAACGTGTTTGTTTGTTTGTTGCTATTTAAACATTTTCATTAAATATTCTTACAGTCATTAAAAGAGGCCAAAAGCCATTGTTATATGACAAACATAAATACTATGTTGTAATCAATATACTCTTACAGATATACAGATAGCCGCTGTCCAGATTTCGTGAGTGTAATGCAAGTGTTATTTTATTGTCATTTTATTGTATATCCTTAGTTTTAATAAAATCAGTTTTGATAACACCAGTTTTAATAAAATCCTTCGAAATGAAATGACCTTTTATGGTTTGGATCGGTTTTATATCAATTTGTTGCTGAAAAGTTGCCAAGGAAGGCAAAAGTTGCCCTAGGTTGCTGGTACTACAAAGAGTTGCTCGAAGCGCTAAAAGTTGCTCAAAAGTTGCCGAGCACAATCTATTTATGCCTACTAGGGGGACAGGGTGAGGTCCAAATCTCCCGCCCTCCGCACCTTGCATTTACAGATCCCGCCCCCTTTTTTCTTGGCTTCCTCCCTTTGGCCTTTTTTCGATCGCGAAATGCGAAGCATTGTTGCGTAATCATTCCCCCCCCCTCCCCTATTTATCCCCTTCACACCTTATTATGAACTACAATTAATGGCATTATTAAGAACTTTGCAACACTACTAAGCAAGACTTTAGGTACTACACTTGGAGGTCGATCTGATGGCTGCCCCCAAATTATGGAATATCATAGTTCTTTAAGGCTCTTAAAACACATATTTTGTTCAACAACTCTTCTATTCGCTTTTTTTCTTTATTGATTATTAGGTTGTACCAGCAATGTAATTTAGGATTTTGAAAATAATCTGAATCAAGAGAGGATAAAGGGGACAGAGAAGGCATCCCTCATACACACCCTATTCCACAGGTAATTCGTCTCGAGTTAGTTT